CGTCCTGGGTGCCGGCTGACAGATGTGGAGGAGGCAGGGCTTAGCCCTCCAGCTTTGGTCTCTGAGGGGAGACGGACACACAGATGAGAGCACAGAAAGTGGACATGGGGCCAGGGTCCAGCCTGAGGTGGGCGTAAGTGGGGTGTGGCCCGTCCTCCAGAGGGGGCGTGGAGGGAGGGCTACCTGGAGGAGGGGGCCCAGGTATCCAGTGCCCACTGGGCAAGGCAGGGTTCCCAAGCTGAGGGAGAGAAGTGTTTCCACACAGAGGTAGAAACAGGCTGGGGAAGGAGAGGAGAGGGAGTGTGGGGCTGCTGGGTGCAGGACTGGAGGCCAGGGAGGCTGGCGTGCGCCCCGCAGCCACGTCTGTGTCTGGGTGCAGAAGCCCCTCTGACGCCGCCGAGAGCCAGTCCAGCTTGGGCTGGCGCACAGGGCGCTGCTGCCCGCCTCTTCCTTCCTCCCTGGGTTCAGAAGTGGCGGGGAGAGGACAGCCAGCTCCCATTCTGAAAGGTGAGCTCATCTCACTTCTGCCAGTTCTTGGAAAATGTATTCGTTCCCAGAAATGTTATTAGTCACCCCTTTTGTTGAAAGACATTTTGGCACCATCAGATGGAAAAATCAAAATGCGTTACATGGGATGATCTGTCTCGTGTTCCTCCTGAGAGCTCTCGAGGACGGTTTCTGAGGATTCAACTCGAGGTGGCAGTTCTGTTGGCCTCTGTGGGGAGGGGCTGGGCTCGGCTTGTGAGGCTGTGTGTGCGCACTTGTGTGTACACATGTGTGCCTTCTTGGGGGCCCCTGGCAGAGGTGGGCTTGGGGACCTGAGCGGGATTCTGCTTTCTAGCAACAGCCCCCCTCGCGTGCCTTGCATCTTCTGGGGGAATGGACACCTCAGAGAAGAGCCCTGGCTGGGCCTAGGACTGCTCCCGCTCCTGTGGGCCCAGGACAGGCACCCTGCAGCCTTCATTGCCACCCTTAGTGAAGCCTCAGAAACACCTGTGGAGGGGGGTACTTTTATTCCTGCAGATGGGATGCGGAGACTCAACAAGGTGAACAACGTGCCCAAGACCAGGCCCTCCGAGGCTGAGGGCTGCCCCCTCCACGCCGGGAGGCTGGGCCCTCAGCAGCAGAGCGGGCGTGGCCTCCCTAACAAAGTGCAAGGAACAGGTTCTCCCACCTCAGATAAGCCACAAAGACATGGGGGGTGGGCAGCAGGACGGGTGGCCATGGTGTTGGGGGGACTGTCATGGTGGTGTGGCTGTCTGAGATGATGGAGCTGACCTGATGGGCACAGTGGCAGGATGCTGGTGATGGTGGCGGAGGCAGGGTTGGCATGACTGATCTGTGATGGGCTTGGCCATGTGCTGGAGGAAGGTCCTGGGCAGGTCCGTGATAGAGGGCGGGGAGATGATGCTGGTGGTGGAGTGACCGCAGCTTCCTGTGGGGCTGGTGGAGACCAGAGGGGTCTGTGGCCGTGGGGATGGCCCTTGCTGGCTCTGGTCTAGCTGCTTAGGCCAGGGATGGATGAGCAGTGGTGACGGGGAGAGTCTTACAACTCAGACCTCATCAGGGGCGTGGGGTCTCTTAGCAAATGATGGCCTGTCTTCCTTTTTATGCGCTAACCTTCCTCTTCCTTTTCTTGACCTCGGGGTCAATAGCTATTCCTGATCGGGGTCAATCTCTTTAAGAGCGGAACAGCAGACAGACAGGTTATCAACCCCATTCTGGGGACCAGGTTCCTGCGTCTACAGCCTGCTGTGACTTTGGGCCTTGGGGTGGGTACGTATGTTAGAGGAGCGT